AAAATTCTTAAATGATGCACAATATTCGAAGAAATCAAATTCTTTTTAATCATCAAGATACTTTTTGATATTCATTATAAAAAATTGACAGATAATCGAAAAGCAGTGGATCCGCCTCGAAAAATTTGCCTCGAAAAATCAACGTTGAGATTGATTTATGCCGCTCGAGATTCGCATAAATCTCGCATGAAGTTCGAAAGTAAAAGCTAACTTATTAATGAACACACATCTAACATATGACGCGTAAACTTCTTGGGGAGGCAACTTCCACTTATACAGTTTTCCGTGAAGAAGTGTGCTCTCTTCGCGCCGCTATCGTGAGGTGCATTCACTGTTCTCTATGTGTGCAACGACGTTCCCTGCATAATGAAACTCGTATCGCTCGTGCCCCATTTTCGATCCTCATCCTCCTTTACCTCAAAGATCGAGCGACTAACTTCGCCTCTGGCTTTTAAATATTTTGTTTCATTTCTCGCGATTAAAAAAAACGCATGTATACGAAAAGAATAGTTTTGTTGAAATATCTAAAAATTTAAACTACAGATGTGAAAATAAATAATGTTGGACTATCAAACTGATTATATAAGATGCTTAAGTGATAATAATAAATAAATGATAATACCGCAAAAACTTTTGATTTGAACCCACGTAATTATTTTGATATTTCAAAAATTCTTTTCAGACCTGAATTTAGTAAAATTTTTTTAGACACGTCAACCGTTCTTTTTGTGCACAGAAGGAAGACATCTCGGCGGAAAATCCCTCCCGAAAAAAGACTGACGAGTTTATTTCGAGGATCTTCGATTAACTCGCGGAAGATGACTTCGGTGGATCAGTCGCTCCTTGTTAACCCCTGTGTTACCGTCTTCCCTCTCGATAATTCGCAGCGTGGCTGTATAATCCACGTTACGCGGCTCTTCTCTCGCGGTCTTATTGCCATAATATCGCCGACTGCACGTCGGCGAGATCGTCGCGACGACGAGGCGCGAGCGCACTGAGACGCTCTCCATCCGACTTAACGACATTCTCGTGGTGGATTAGGTCGAGCGAGATGGTAGTCGGGTTCGCAGAGCTTGACGGTACTCCGTGTCGAACGGGATGAGATTAGCCGGAGATCCGACGAACCTGAAGCGCGGACGCTGCGCGCTTCGCGAGATTTTCACGGGTCCGCATCGTTTACGCGCGATTTAGTGGAAGCGTTACCCACTTTGCGCTTTTAGCATAATGCAACATCCTAGGATATTGGGATGCAAAGCGCGGTCGAGAGCGTGCAGATTGCAACCAAAGCGAGTGTCTCAAGCGGCGTCGACTTGACGGCTATACTAAGCTTTATACACATTTACTTAGCAACAGGAGAAAATAAATTTCTATCTAAATACATCGATAATGTATTCAAAAAAAGAAAAAAATGAAATTTTATATTCTATAACGATTAAATTAATGACTAAATAAATCATTTTCTATCATTTTCTAAGAAAAGATTTTAACAATTAAAAGTTACCAAGTTAAAATTGAAACTTGAAATTTTGAGAATTTATGGCACTTAATTAATTAAACATTATTATAATAGTTCTTTATATTTCCAGTATCTTTTTTAAAACTAATTATCATTCAAAAATTACAAATTCACTATCTTTTTAATTCTTATTAAAATTATAATTTTTATGAAATGGGGAGAAATATGTAATATTTACATAAATCATATTTATATTTTATTTTAGAATGTGTAAAACCTATAATAAAATCTATAATAAAAACTATAATATAAGTATAATTAAAAACGCAATTTTATGATTATTTTTTATAATTGTCCTGAAAGATACTAATGTATTGTAAATTTATTTTCTTATTTTTCAGGAGTCCGATAGTCTGGCGGTGTTCTCTGAATTGCTGAGATACACAAGCGTACGTGAATTGAGTCTGTGCAACGCACGCTTGCATTTAGCGGTGCATGAGGGTCCTCTGTCGAGATTAGGACGTCGTGATGACGCCGGCGCCGAACTCTTGCGAGCTGCACCACCTCCGGCCTGTCCCGCAATCGTCTTCCTGAGATTAGCCGGATTTCAGGTGCGTGAACACTCCCCTTTGGAATATACCTCACCCCTTTGGAACACTCCCCTATGATAACCATATTGTGATAATTAAATGAAACAAAAAATATTTATTTCCCAATTTTTCTTGAAGACTTGAACATCACGATAATTTGTTTATTGTTGCTAAATGATGTTTCACTTTTTTGTAATTTTAACTTTACTTTCCTTCTCAAACGAAGAGTCAAAATTCTTATGTCGAAGTCTTGATTATCATGTGTCTCGATCTTTTACAAATAAATCATCAGAAAGCATAGTTTATATCAAACAATCGGGATGTTTGTAATGAATGACTCCGAGTCACTTTGCTACATAGTATAAACGGAGTATAAAACTAACTGAGGAGTCTTGAAACGGCCTAACTCGCCTACAACTCGCTCATGAACTCGATCTCATAATGCAACAATGTTGCAATGACATATGCAATCCTATTATCCCTAATGTACGAAGCTTGATCATTCGCTGATGCAGTTACGTGTCTTCAAATGCACCGTGCGTATCCGGGCGTCTGTACCATTACGGGAAGATAACATACATATACGGCATCGCGATTCCAGTAGACGCAGATGTAACTGTCTACCGACCGTCTCTCTGACCGAGCTCCATGGATGTACTGTGCTATGTACCTACCCGTGTTCCTGGGATCTGGCTGGAACCATTAGACACACTCGCGCTCTATCCAGTAGAAGAGGTTCGTGATGCGAGTCCCTCTCTCGCGGAGATGATTCGTCTCGCTTGAAAAATGAATCCACATCCGTGAAATACACTGCGAAGAAAATCAATCAACTCCCTGAAACATCAAGTTCCGTTTACCTAATATTATTCTCGGTAATCCTGATTCCGGTCGGAGAATTTCGAATTTATTCACGTTCATGTAACGTCTCTTAATATCGTTGACTATCCTATTTTCTCCTATTTGAAATTCTGATCCGAGAAATCTATGCATCCAGAAAGATCCGAGACATTAATTATTATTTAACCTATATATAAATATCTCAACATTCACGATACATAGAATCACAGTAATGTAGATAGATAATTTATTTATTCTTCAGCTTTTTATATTGCCATGAAGGGATAAAATCACAGTATAATTTTCTATGCTGTGGAAAAAATGTTTTTTTTTCACTGGCAAAATTGTGTTTTAGTAGTTTTTAAATAAAAGAGAACATTAAACAGCTGATATTTCATAATTATATGATATTTAAGTATCGCTCTTTGGAACGTAATTTATTTAATGAAAGAAAATTTTCTAATTAACATTTCTGAAGCAATGGCTTCTGAAGCAATGGAAAGTAGATTAGATAACACGTGAATAGCAGTAGCCAACTCGTATAGATAAGTCTTATTCGTAGAACAAACATTAACACAATTAACAAATATATGCAAATGGAAGATCTGCTTTTCGAGCATATGTTTCAAAATATTTAATCAGCTCTTTTCAGGTCCGCGAATATTTTTAGAACATTGAAGCAACATCTAATCTATCTATCTAATCTTATGCTTATTTCACTTTCAGCCGTTCAGCCTATCAGTTAGCAAATTTTCTGGGGCACAGAGTATAATATATGCTTGAATGTGATACGTAATCTTTAATTATTCCTCGTTCCGGATGAAAAAGCTCTTCATATTTCTCTTCATATTTCAAAAAAGAAAGACTGATATTAAAGTAATCGTCCCATCTCATGTTGCGAATGCCAAATCCGTGCCAGGAATTCTCGCCAGATCTCATGTCTCTTTTCTCCCTTATCTATTAAATCATATATTTTCTATTATATACATAATTACAGTTGGCCACAGTACAACGTATCACGTACATAAGAGACGACCGAGGTCAACATCTGTCTTGGTACTCTTCACATTAAAGCGATCCCCAGTTCCATCTCTCTCGTTTTATACAGGATATCTCTGAAATAAATTGCCAAACTTTGTAAAAACGTTCCTCATTTTCCTTAACAATATCATCTTTGCTTATCGCAAGTTTTCAATTAAGAGTATCTTTATTTTAATTAATTCTCAACTTGAAAGTGCAACAAAGTGATCTAACTCGTCTTTTCTAAAGACTAGAAAATCAAGCTGACATAGAATCTTTTTAGAGATTGGTCTTTTCAAATTCTTAAACAAGTTAATTTCTGAAATTATTCAGCTTTATTCTCGAGATAAAATAAAGAAAGAAATTTTGCTGCTAAACAAACATCTTTTGAAAAATTCTCGTTTATTTTTTATCTTCGCTTGTTATTTAAAGATTAAAGCAAGAAAATCAATTCAAAGCTGGTTGAAGAAGCCTATAAAAAATGAGAAATTGCTTGTCAGGTCTAGGATATTCCGTATGTCTCTCTTTCTCTATCTCTCTATTCGTAAACGAGCGAAACAAATTGCGCCTGATAAGATCTGTCGAGGGAGTTATTTTTGATTGCAGGTGACAGTGAATGATCGCCTAGCGCTGCGTGGACCACTGTTGCTGCCGTTCCTGGCGGGTTTCACGTCGTTGAGCGAGCTCGACCTGTCGCTGGACAAATCGACGATCGGCGGTAGTAGCGGCTCGCTGCTCTTCATCGACGACAAGATCCTACAGCAGTTCTTCTGCTGCCTGGCGGCGCACTTTCGCAGCCTGCAATCGCTCCGGATCAATTTTTGGCGGGTCACCCTGGAGGACAGCGACCGAACGATGCGCCAGATCGCCAAGCATCTCAAGCTGTGCGGTCTGAGCTTTCTCAGGGCGAACGGCCTGATCGTCACCGACAGCGCTAAACGTGTGCAGATGGAACACGTGTTCGTGCAGGCGATCCTCACGCACTTGCAGTGTCTCACCTGGCTGTGCCTGGACGGCGTCGAGCTGACCGAGATACAGGCCACCAGCGTAGGTAAATGCGTGCGGGATCGTTTTCCCGGCACTGCCCTGGAGATCAGCGCCAAAGATGTCCACGTGAGGTCGGTCAAGGCTCTGGTGACCGCGGCCGAAGAGGGCGGCAGGACGGAGGTGGTTTACACCGGCGGATCCAGTTGCCGTCTGAAGATCACGAAGGTACAGAAGGGCGGCCGGGGCAAGAAAAAATGAAGAGCTCGCGAGCGATAATTTGGAGGAAGTTACACCTGGCACACAGTTTGCCTCGAAGTAAACGAAGAGAACGAAGAGAGTTGAAGAGATCGATTGATCTCTTCGCGGATGCGACTGTGGAACTGGGAGAGTTCCGAGAGATTGGAACGGAGAAAAGACACGAAGAGAAGGAAATATATGAATTAAATCAACAGATCGTGAAGAAGTGATGCGGAGAAGTGAGTGGAATCCGGAGAATCGGAAAAGGGATAAATAAGATGGAAATATAATATAGATTTTCTAGAAGCGACGGGATATCGGAAAGTATATTGAGTGAGCGTTGACGTCGCATGAGGCATGTAGAATAAAGAGGAAGATGAAGATGCAGGGGAGTCTGAAAAAGGGAAGTGCGGGTTAAACTTTGCGGATTTTCGTCTTACTGTGATTTTGTTTCCTGCGCGTCAGACGCGCTTACCTACGATATATAGGCTCTATAAATTGTAGTGGTTTATTAGTCTGCAAGGAAACAATCGAAAATCCTGGGAAATGTACTACGCTTTCGCTCATCTCAACGCATTTAAGAAATTAATGAGATATCAAAAGGGCATAATTGATTTGATCTAGAAATTACTTTATTTTAAAAAAGATTTTGGCATCACTTTTTATCGAAATCGTATTGCACAAATAAAAATGATGCCAAACGGCAAAAGCAAAAATATTAATTTAAAATAGAAAACAAAAATTTTATTTCTCATTTTTCTTTTAGGTGAAGTGTTTGTGTTTAAAATATTTGTTTATGAATATCGTTAGTAAAATGTTAATAATCTTGACATACGAAGATATTTATAATATATATATATAAAATTTGTTTTATTTTTTATTTATATCTTTCTACATATATTTTTTATGATTTTTTCGCGGAATAAAATTTTCGTACTTTTATAAGCACAAAAAGTTGCATTATCTTTATTCGTATTTTTCGAAATATTTGTTTTTGTCAATAATAGAAAATCATATTTGTTTCATTTTAATCTGTGCAATCATAATTATAATTAATGAATTTTTATAATTAATAAATTTCGTTATAATTCAGAGGAAATCGATCCCGATTCTGTTAGATAAACGAAAGTCGGAATGGAAATATTCAATGTCGAAAAAATATTCTTCTCGACTTTCTTTGAGGAAAGAAATGAGAAAGATGGAAATACTTATCGCGCGAGACGAGAAAGAGGTTTAAGCGGAAGAAAAAGAGGCTGTTGCGATTACATAAGTAGTCGTTCGTTGTTGTTAGATGGAGATGTAAGATACGATTCAGAGTAATATATTATTAGTGATATAGATCACATCACGATCGTCACGATATTATTAAATGTTACAATCGATTGTCATTCGCGATCGGCAGATGCGGTCCGAGATGCCAATGGTTTCACCGAGGGGGTGGCGCGTTGTTGGAGATTTGGAGAAATTTTATAGAATAAATTTTAAATGGTAGGCACATGAAAAAATACAAATACACACACACACATGTGTACGTGAGTATCACGCGTTTCCGCGGCGACGTGAGAGGAAAGAAAGTCGAATATTCGTAATTCTTACGATGAAAGGTACCACACATAGGCAGGCACCCGATATGAGCTATTGTTGTATAAAGTAATTAACTATTGTAATTAAGATGACTGCCAAATCATAAAATACTTGATGATCTGCGTTTTTGATGCATTTAGTGTTAAACTCAATTTCGATGCTTTTGTCTAATAAACAAAAAGAAAATTGATTCCAACGTGAATCTAAAATATCGTCCGATTGCGTTTAACGCTAAATGTGAATTGCAAAAGGTGTAGTATCGTTTGTCGCACAAACGTTTTAGAAAGCCGTTCCTACAATCGCGCGACAAATCCAATAGAATCCGCATTTTAAACAAGCTACAAACAATGTTACGCAGTATGATCTCGATCGATCGATCGTGATCAATGCCATAGCAACGATAACTGCCATTCAACTGGAACCACCAATGAAAATAAAAGGAAACGATCTGCGATGGGAGTCTTTTATTGGTCTTTGAGTTTTATCTTATGTAAAACGCGAGTCAAAAATTTGCTATCATTATGAATACATAATATTATAGAAAAATGTGAATGCTACACTTTAGAAAAATACATCTTTTAAAGTAAAAAAATATATATATTTAAAAATCTAAATAACATAAGCATTTTTAAGTTTCAATTTTATTAAAAAATTTAATAATGTTAACAAAAAATATTTTAATTAACCATTTTAATTTAAATAATGAAAAAAATTCAAAAATTATTTTAAAATTAATTCCTTGTATCTTTAAAATATTTAATATTAAATGTTTCGTAATCAATCCTCAAGATATAAAATTTTGAGAAAATAAATTTCATTTTTATTCTGATGTATAGAATAATTTTTAATTATGTATTAATATATAATATGTAAATTCTTAAATATCTATAAATTCCTAATTATTAATATTTCAGAGAGGAAACAAATCTATATAATCAAAATAAGAAAAAAGATTTATGAATACATATATAAAATTATTATTAGATATTTTAAGATACCCTTTGAAATAAAATTATATAATAATGGCATATATATGCATTACATTATTCCATTTTAAATAATAGTTAAAACATCTAATAATAGTTATATATGTATACATTTCTTTGTTCTAAACTTCAAATTCATTCCCTGAAATATTAATATGTATATAATTAAGAATCACTTGGTATGATGTCAAATTTTTGACTGGTGTTATGAAGAAGAGCAATTTTATGGCGAGATTTTCTCTCCCTTTTTGTCGCATTTTTCGGAGATATACAGTACCATCCCACGTAATCCTTTATTGTCCGACTAGATACGTAAGTGCTCCCGCTCGAGCGTGTGTACGACGAATTTTGTCATTTTTGATAGTTTGCTATGTACATAAGAGTCTCTTCGATTTATGCCGTGCGGTACGATGAAGATAACTGCGCGGTCTGTTAAACATTTGCGAGCCCATTTTACGAGGAAGTCAACGCTCGGCAAGACTGAAACTGATTGTCACACATACATACAAGCACACATAAAAATACCCGCAAAAATATCATACACGGAATAATACATCCTAGCCGAGCGATATATTCGTGGCGACTTGCGAGATAAGCGCCCGACATACCCACATGTATGGAATCAATTTGAGTAATTTTATTATAAATATTTATGTATTTATATGTGTACACATATCCTCTCCAAATAAATGTAATATGTGTTTGAAAATTTTTTATCTTGCTAACCGCATATTGCGGTTTAAGCACTTGGCAACACGTAGACAAACTCAGAAGAAATTCATGTTAGAAATTCATGTATTAAGATTATCAGTTACTGACTCATTTCCTATTGCTGTTATTAAGATAAAAAGAAAAACCACATATATTTACTCGTAAGAAGCACCAATGCGACGTGTAAAATGAAAAAACAAAAATATATCCAAAGAGAAAACTTAGGAAAATTATAAATAAATAATAATGTAGATAAATTGAACTTTTTATCACAAATTAAGAAAAATTCGAGCTCATACTCCAATCACTATTTGGACAGACATACGCAAATTGTGAATTGTTAAAAGATGAAAAATCTCTGTTGCAAGTACGTATTTTTATTACTTACACATTTATTTTTTATAATAATCATCAAGCGCAAAATTCGCGCATTCATAAATCTATACAATGAAGGTATTAGAAAAACGTAACAAGATTCGCGTAATACGTTTTCTCGTGCGTTATAGCAGATACACTAGCGCTTTTATCGCGATTAAGTGTCGCGATAAGCATACAATATTATTACACGTGAAAGACGACAAACGGTTTCTTCATAAAATCAAATAATCGAAACAATTTCATTTCATTGTTGTGTACTATTATTTGTAACGTAATTCTTAATATTTTGGCCTGCGTCTCATCACAATTGGAATCAATGCCTTAATGTCTTTACGCGCGCGTATACATTAATATATATTATAATAAATATATATTAAATTAATATATTAAAATGTATATTAATTAAATCATATATTATGTATTATATTAAAATATATATTAATACGCATGTGGAATGTAAAAGGCGACCCATCTATCTTGATAAAAATGCGATAAAATCAGTATTCAATACCTCTATAATAAGATTTTAAAAACAAACACGTCGTGTTCAATAATATCAATCGATCATCGTAACATTTTCAAGAAAAAAGAGATCACATCGGATTTAGGAGGAAAGTATTCTGCATAAATCAAGGAAAAAATATTTTCAGGGAAGATACTTTGGAGTTTTCGGAGTTCTCGTACAGACTCTTAGAGTCTGGCGCAGATATTTTCACAGACTTTGATCTTTCACACCGTCAACGTACGATATTCCATTTTATTTGGTTAATCGGAATTGACCTAATAACATAATTATATAAATTATATACAAATAATATTACAAATTCCAACAGATTGTGCACACACAACCGGTACAGTTACTCAACAAATGTTCCACGCATGCTAAGTTATGTTTATTAGCGTATTACAATAACAAGGAAGGTAATACTTAGCATGGACGGAAAATACAAATAGCAACCTTTCTTTTGAATCACTGTATAAAAATGGTGGATATATTTTCATGTAAAAGTATTCTTAGATGTGTTACTCACGTTACTTTTCTCGTTTCTTGCACAAATATGACTAGCTTTCTATAGCTGTCCCAAAACGATTATGGCCGTTTACATTTGTTCTTAGGATTCCATGCTAAATTTATAGTAATTTAATATTATAAAAACAATAATTATCTCAATTGTTAATATATAAATTATATAAGGTTTCAATATATTCTTATATTTACATTGTGTCTCGGAAGTCTCATTAAAAATATTCTTACAAACGTGCCTTAAAGTATCATTGCAAAAATAAAAAATCTAAACAATGCTATTTTTATCATGACATAGCTAAATTAAATCTGGATGAAATGCATGAAATGCATAGATGAATTACAGGTCAAAATTCATACAGACATGAACCTTCGTTCTGGCAGGAGTAAAATATTTATACAAAAGATGAATAAACAGCGACACTTGTTCCAGAAAAGAGAATGTAACTGACCGTTTTTTTAATATCTAATATCAAGATAAGAAATACATCTTTTATCATACATCGTGTTTTAGAAACGATTTAAGCTAGTAATTTGATTCGGTTAGAAATTCTTGGGAATTATTTTTCGTCATTAGCAGTTTTTTTTCCTAAGGCATGCGCGATCCTCAAACGATTTGTAGTCCAAGATGATACTGATCGCCATTTTCGAGTGCACAATCACAGATTTTTGATGTAGCGAAGACATTCTGCGGCACTGTCGTGCTTCTCGTCTCTTGATGACAGAGCCTGCAGATAGATATATTTCCGTTATATCCATAAGAACGCTCTGTGACGCGCGTTATGCCTCTCATAGATCACATAGGAGCGTAATCCAACTGGATCGTGAGGTGTCTGACGCCTGCCGCCTGGAAAATCTTTTGCGTCGTTATCACAACAGATTTGGGGTCTACCTCTCTGGCTACCTCCAATTTCAGGCATCCAACATACACGTCCGAGCATAGAGTCCAAAAGTGTGGTTCCTGTACACTGTAGACACCGGGTATCTGCGTCACCTTATTATAGCACTGCGGCAATATGTGATCCAGAGCTACTGGCTGTCTCTGCATGAGTATCTCCCATGATTCTTTCATCAAAGAGACTACACTTAACACTATCAATACTGCAATGAGCATAGAGCAAATTGGATCGGCGATCATCCAACCGAACATTTGCATTAGCACCGCGGATATGATTACTCCTACAGAACCCAAGGTGTCTGCAAGTATATGCAGAAACACGCCCTTCATGATTTGAGAGTTTGCGCCACTGGAGGACATGTCCAAGTCAATGTGATGGTCATAGTTGTGATTCAGCAGGGAGTACTCATGATTATGAGGATGAGAGTGACTGTGATGTCCCATCCCACCATGATTATGACTGTGACCATGTCCATGTCCATGGCCATGTCCATGACCGTGTCCATGTTTAAATGCACATATTCCTATTAAATTCACTATCAACCCCAGCACAGAGACTACAAAGAGCCTTTCATGCTTGATTTCTGGTGGCTCAATGGCTCGTTCCACTGCCTCCGACATAATGAACAAGGCAATAAACAACAGAAGCAGTCCATTTACAAAGCCACCTAACACTTCGGCTCTGACGTAGCCATACGAGTATCTGTCGTTCGCTCGCCACTTGGTAATCACAGATGCCGCTAAGCCAAACAGCAGGCCAGTGCAATCGAAAAACATGTGAAAACTGTCGGAGATGAGACCGAGGCTGTTGGTCCACATTCCATACAGCAGCTCGACAAAGGCAAAGGACAGATTAAGAAGCAGGAACAAAAATAAATTCCGAGTGTTTGGATCAGAGAAGATGAGACGTTTCCAACCCAGCAGCTTCTCCTTCACTCTACTGCGGAAGTTGGAACGCGAGTCGCGCGGACTGTGCGAAAGTGGCAGCATAATAGAGCTGTGCCGATCCTATGGGTTCGAATCTCTCCTATAAGAAAGAAATCTAATGTAATGACAAAATGAAGAGAGAGATCTGTATCAAAACATAAAGCTTCTATTATATTATAGAACAAAGACATTCAAAACTAGTCGTCTATTTTTCTGGAAAATTACAATTATATTTTCCAAGCTCTACAGCAGTAACTGTTTACATTTCTCTCTCAGCACACGCTACGCGGTACACACATATGTTGCCAGCAGACATCCCGCTTCAAAGTGACAATCAAAACGGAAACCGCACCGAGTTTTTAATATCGCTAGAAAATAATAAAAAATCTCGGAATCTAACTCGGAACACGAGACACGGAGCAACAAGCTATAAAACGGACGCCGCTCGCGGAACATTCCCAGCTGTTTGACACGCGTCAAGTTCGCTAATTAAAACACATGTATACTGTAAGTACATCGTATGTACGCGCGGCACGGTGCGGCGCGGCGCGCGTACACGACACGTCCACGTCGGGAAGGTCTAGAAGGTTAGGTTACCCGGATTTCTCTATTACTCGGAATCGATCGCAATGCGCAAACGCGCAGTCATAATCAAAGAACTGAAAGAGCTGATTGATAAAAAATTAATTATCTTGATTTAATACACACATAATTTTTTTTTCATACACATAGTTTAAATCTTTAAAATATCTCTTTTTACGAATTGTCACGTTTATAAAAAAAATATGTTACACGCGATGAAACACGCGTTCTTATTCTGAAGCAGGTAAAAAAGTGTAAGAATAAACAATTTTTATTTTAAGGCGATGTAATGCACAAACCTTATGATTCAACCTTCCTGGAAACGGCGGGTGTCTTAACCTAACCTAACTCAATCTGCGCGCGAGACTCACCTGTCACAGCGCCGAGCTCCCGCATCCGCCGTCAATGCTGATATTAATTCGCCGTCTCGTACCGGCACATGCCGATTGTCAAGGGTGCGAGGAACCGGCTCGCGATCGACAAGAGGATGCACGATGGAAGAGCATGGCCATGCCGCGTGGTCCCGAATGCTGATCGCGGTATCGATGAAGAAAATGGAAGCCAACCACGTTCCGGAAAATGAGTTCCGCGAAATTCGTCGAGTGACTCTCAATCTGACAGCCTCGTCGATCCGTTTATCCACGATGATCCGCGACGCGGATGTCCACGTCGCGACTTCGATCAACGTAGTGTCGAATGCGCCGGATCCAGTGCGTCATAAAGATGGCGCCGCCGCGCCGGAAGTGACACCATACGTCATGGCACACGGCTAACTTCCCGTCTCTTCCTCGCACGACAGCCACCATGGTAAGTTCACGTGTAAATTGTGCGATTCCCGAATAATATTTTTCTTGCGAAAAAATCCACGGGAAAAAATCCACGAAGATCTCACGAATATCTCGTGAGAAATGGCAAATTTTTTACTAAATTGCGTTACGCATCGGATACGCTTTGTTTACGGAGGAGCGTTCTTCGAAAGATCCATGTGCACATGATTCTTCAAATATTCTAATTTTGTTACTTTAATTTCAATCTCAAAAAAAAATATGAAGTATATTTAACGTTGGAAGAAAGATAATGATTATATTAAGAGAATGCACTTGAACACCAATTGGAGATTATCGCTTCAACAACATAACCTCTTTTTCTGAGTTTTAAAGTGAAATTTGCAATTAAAATGGTGTATAACTACTATCAAAGTAATTGACAAGAGATTATCTAAAATAAATCTAATTAGTGTAATGTTAATATTAGTCAAAATAGAATTTAAATTTTTTTGTTTGAATAACCTCAGGTTGTAGGCACTTTAATTCTTCCTAAAGAATGTAGAATTTCTCTAAAAAAGTTGAGATGAAATCTGTCCTGACTTTCTATAGATTTTAAATGATTTTCCTTTTGCAAGTCTGAGGTCAAATATGATGCGGCAAGTTTTCTTTCTTTAGCTTTTTAAAACTTTAAATATTGACTATTTTAAGAATTATGTTAGCTAATAATAGTATAATTTCTCTAATAATTTTGATTTTAATATCATGTTTGGTTCTAATGTAAACATAAATTGAAAAATACAAGTAGTACATAAAATAATCCTGATATCTGCAGGTATTCAAAGATATTTTTTCTATTTTAGAAATATATAGATTAGTTTTTCTTAAAATCTATGATGACTGATTATTTTCTAGACAAATGCTGTGACAGTAAAATACTGATTTAATGAGTCTGATCATAACTCTTATATGTGATAAGCCTTGTCTCACTACTGAATATATTCTTATATTTAATGTATTATTATAGCCGCCTAAAAAGGATACAAAGAGTTCCTCTAAACAACCTCAAAAAACCCAGAAGAAGAAGGAGGGTGGATCTGGTGGAAAGGCTAAGAAGAAGGTTTATATATTTCTTTATAATAATTGCAACAAATAATTTTGAGTGATTAATCTCATTTGATGTGTACTTTTCGACTTGACTAACTATGTAGGCAAAAACTGATTTAATGAGTCTGATGAGAAATTGAATTATGCGTTTTCTTTAACGTTGCGTTTTCTTTAATGTTGCAACGATGGAATCTTAACACGATGATTTTTCGTATTCTTACAGAAGTGGTCCAAAGGAAAAGTACGTGATAAGTTAAACAATCAAGTACTCTTCGACAAGCCGACATATGAGAAATTATTGAAAGAAGTACCGCAATACAAATTGATTACGCCGTCGATTGTTAGCGAAAGATTAAAGATTAGGGGATCTCTCGCCAGACGGGCATTGATAGAACTTCAGCAGAAGGGCTTGATCAAACAAGTTGTACAACATCATGCGCAACTTATCTATACGCGTACTACTAAGGGAGATGATCCAGCGGTATAATATGTAAACTTCAATTTAATAAAAAAAAATTAAAACCAATATATAATTCCCTGTTTTTAAATATAGATATACTTTATCAATTCAGTCTTTCCAATTTCTATATTTTACAAATGATGCTCGGTAATAAAGTTTCATTTATTTTAATATTAAGAATTAAAAGAATTGTTAAAAGTTCTAGATAAAATTGATTATTCTTCTTTTCACTGCAATTTTATTGAATTATAACAGAAAACAAGAAATTATAAGTTTTTTCTCACATATAAATTGATTTATCATTTATGATTAATCATATAAATTACCAAAAATATTTTTATTCTATATTAATATACATAAAATTCTGTTTTGTATATTTTTATATTTTGTATCTTCAACGAAAATGGATATTGTAATGAAATATTAAAAGTCATACATATTTTTTAATTCACAAACTAACTTAAGTTTAATAATTTCATCAATTTATATTATTAGATACAACTAATAGCATGAAAAAAAATTACTATTAAAAGTTTATATATTTTATAAAAATAAATTAACCTATATTTCTCATGTGTTATCCTAATATAGCTATAGTAAAGAAATAAAAACTTCGATTAAATTAAGAAAGACCCAAGTTAAAGTTTTGCTAAGTCACAAGGCATGAAAATAAGAAATATGATATATAAACAAAATCAATTTATTACATCAGTATAACGTAGAAAATAATCTTACATTTTTATATCAAAGAATAATAGAATGCAAAATTTGGCAACTATATTACAACTTAAAGACGGAATATAGCAGAAAATAAATTTATATCTTGTATTTGTCAGGCTTATATTGAAAAATTATTCTTTTTAAAGAGCTTCTCTCTATTGAGAGATAAATGTAAACTACAAAATTATCACACAAGAAATACGATTCATTTTCTGCTTTATATTGTCTATATTTTTATGTATAATATTCTACATATTAATTCTACCTGTCCAATATATGTTTATCGAAACATCTAATTCCTTGGTTCACCTTCTGATATTGAAATGTGCTTGTACCGGAAAGACCATCTCGTACCTGCATATGCTCGACGTTATATGTGTAACTCGATTTCTGTAATTCCTTATTTTTGAACTGGCCAATATCACTCTTCTCAATATTATAATATCTTACCTGTTGTCGAGCATAATCTTCTCGCCCATTTAACCGATTTGTACGCTTACGTCGTTGATTGTTAATATCATGATCTCGATTTACAAATAATTCTGGCTTAGAATCAATCAGATTTTGTATCTTACACAAATCCACACTTACTTTGAGGCCAGAATCATTGTTATATTTTGTACTAATCTCATTATTATGATATACGGTATTTTCCTGAAATGCCGTATATCGAATAAATTTTTTATTGCATGTATCAATCTGTTTATTTAAAATACTATGTTCGTTAAATCTCGTAATGTTCGAGATTTCTCGGTTATTAACTCTCGGTCTCATTACATGCATATTGTCTAAATGTTTATAACCGTTCTGCAATGTTGGAGAATCGTGTGTGTGATTGTTGTCGATTTTATCGTCAGAATGTCGATTTGTCGAAATAGTGACATCATCTTGCGATATTTTTTCAACATTTTTATTCATTTTAACAACGTCCAAATCAAAATCAACACTGTGTACTATCCTATTAGTTTCTTTACAAAATAGTCGAGCACTGGATCTCTCTTCCACAGGTATTACGCTATGTCCATATGTTTGTTTATACTGTTGCACGCTTTCTAAATTGACTTGCGAACTCTGACAATCATTCGAAACATGTGTTACGTCATTCGTATCATTATCTACATTCGTATTACAAATTGTTCGATTTACACTTAAATTATCACTAAAAACGAGACATGTCTCACTGTCATTCTCATCACAGGAATGGTCACTTGTACTCGCTGTGTCATCAATACTGTTCGTTAAATTTACATTCCCAAAATTATTGGTACGCAACATTTTGGATTTAATTGGATCTAAATTCTCTTTCGCATCGTCGCAATCACGCGCCACATAATTGACGCACGTGCTTTTATCGTTAATTAAAAAATTATCATTTTTCGAAAAGCGAAGCTTGTCAAAACATTGTTCTTCAATCGAAGTGCTGTCGACGTAATCCGAACTGCACGAAGCTTCATCCCGCGTACGAGACGCAATGGTAGACGATTGTTTCAGCTCTCGTGATATCGATATGTCTGCCGATTGATTCTTATTCTTTTTGGGATTCTTCGTCGGGATATTTACAGAGAATGTATCGTACAAGATCATCTGGGCAATACAAATATACAAATATAATTAAATCACCGCATGATAAATAATAATAATTTGTGAATCAAGTCTATATCTATGAATTATACCTGAACATTATTTGATTCGCTGACTCGAAATTTGAGGTCGTGTAAATTCACGTAACGCGATATCAATCTAGGTTGATGACAGGTGTTGAGGTTGTTGGTGACTCGGGGGAAGACGCTATAGGTTGTATTCTGGAAGGCAATATTCTGGTCGCCGACCACACTATATAACAAATTAATATTAATGTTAATATCCAAGAATTCGTCATTCATATAAATATTGTTGTTTCAACCTATATTTTATTTTTATTCTCTTTTATTTCGCAGTTTTTTTTTCGTACATAGACAATAATGATAGAATATCACGAATCTAAATTATCGCTATCTTGTAATTACTTGTAACTTAAAAAACTAAAGCTAAACTAACTTGTAACTTAAAAGTCAGCAGTAATCACAAGCGAGCAATCATAGCAGCCTATTAACGAAGTAACTTGCAATAGACACCAAAGCCTATTTAAAAATTTGTTAACAGAAAGAAATATGAACAATACTTTACATATATAAATTAAAAAATAAAGAGATTATTAAGTGTCTAAGATTCTGCTTACCAAACTTTGCCTGTATTTCTATTACTGAATATATATTTTCGGCTTATATAAGATAATATATATTGAATGTTCAAGAATTTGTGTTTGATAAACTCACCTCCTATGGGAGTCACTGGTTGAGTCGTCCTTCTCAGAAGCAATCTCCGCAGGACTGGTGCCTGCATCCCCGTCACACTGTTAGAATCGCAAGATAGAGAGAAGGTACGGGGAAATTTATTTGCAACATATTCCCCGCACCGTGCTTCTCACCAAAACCAATGTACTTTAACTTTACATTAACAATCAAAAACCCGGGCTTTTCAAAGTCAATAAAGGGTTTTCACAAAAAAAATTTTGTAACGTTTGTCATACTAGAGAAATTTGTGCAAATTTTTTGTGCAAGTCTCTTAAGTATTTTCTCAATTATTTTATTAGTTATTCTGAATCTTGTAGACTGTTTAACATTACAAGTTTCAAAATTTCTAGTGAGTTACTTACATGAGCGGTGGAACTTGAGGAACTATTGCCAAGACTGGGTGTACCAGCAGATAAATTCGCCGTCAAAACGATTCCTTGCTCATTCAATACTCTTGTTTCATTGTTATTCACAGACGTAGTTACTTTAGTCATCTTTGATTGATTTACAAACATATTGTGGTTATCAAGATTATTAAGCACAGTAGTACTATCTGTCATTTGCGGTAAGTTGATGCTACTTGAGGATATAACACATGTATTGCCATTATCAACTTTTCCTGCACTCGAATCAACCGCAATATTCGGGTTTGACATTTGTTGAAGATAAAATTTGTCGGTCGATGGTGATTGCATATAAAGTTGATTGTTTTTGACAAAGGATATATATTTCGCTGTATTTCCCTGTGCTTTTTCGTTGCCCTGTTGTATGTTAAAGATCGTATTGTTCCCGTTTAGATAACATGTTCCAGTCCGATTTGTGTTTCTTACATCATCCATCTTGTGCAATGATGTGGACTGGATGGGAAAGATATTTTTTTCAATATTATTTAATGGGAGATAGGAAGCATCCTTTGATGCCATGGATATGCATTTCGAGAAGCTTTTATCATCATTGTTAATCTCACTAGATTTAGATATACTTACGCTTTGCTGTTGTGTGTTCGTACTAGGTGCGACAATAACATTACAAGCTACAGCACCAGTTTGCATTCCTTTGTCAAAATTATTTCCCTTGATTTTCTTGCAATTGTTAGTCACGTCATTTGCTAAAAAAATTTAATATAATGTTATTAATTACTATACATATGAACTTTTAATTTTCTTTTCTCAAATTACCTTCTTCGTGCATACTACGTTTTGTAGATGAAGACGTAACAAATTGCTCCAACGTTTTATTCGTGGAAAGAGATGAAATGTTAGTAGTATCTTTACATGAAGCAGTGTTCACACATACAATATCAGGTACACTCTCGAACACTTCAGGTGGAAGAGAAGTAACATTAGTAATTTTGATATTCATCACAGGCATTTCGTTTGTATCTATCGCGTTCATTTCTTCCAAATCGTTACTATTCGAACTAAACAAATCTATCGTGGATTCTCGTGGCGCCCCTACATCAGATTCATTTAAGACAATAGATTTATTTTTATTCGACGTCTCTGATTCTGAATTTGATTGAATATTATTTTTCGATAAATTAGTAATCGCTGTATTTTGATTTTTAAATATTGCAGAATCATCTAACGATGTTTTTAACAATTGTTTTGATGGTGATGTGCATAGAATAGGTGAGTCGTCTGATTGCTGTACTAAAGATGAAGATGAAAGATCTTTTTTTTGTTGTAACGTGATAAACTATAACAGAAATAAATGAAATATTATAAGCAATATATTTGCGACGACGCGTACGATTAGTAAAAATTTGATACTTTTAAATATTTTTTGAATTAATGTTCTTTACCTCCACTTCATCGTCATCGCTTTCAATTGTGATAATAACATCTGTCTCCTGTCGAGTCAGTTGAGATTTTTCGTTGTTATTAGACAACTTATCTTCTTCCGAAGAGCTATTTTTACTTTTTTGTTGAAGAATATTTTCTTTACATTTTTGTTGAGGAGTATTTTCTTTACTGGTCGACGGTTCTTTCTTCTCATTGTCATTATTAGACGATTTGTTTTGTGTATCTTCTAGATTAGTTTCGATAGTTATGTTCTTCTTGGCATTAGTCAATTCCAATCTGTTAAATAAAATAAAAACAAACAATTGAAATAGATAATATCGGAATATTCGCTGTTACAATTATCATCATTATTGTTAATTATTCGTCTGTTCAATAACCTTAGCTTGTTTATTTGCTGCTGTAATTTAAAAGATCGTGGTCCAGGTCGTAATAAAACAGATTCGTCCAGATTGATCTTCGAAGAAGTGGAACTTGAATTAAAAGTAGGCAATGGACACGACATAGGGAATTCAGTTCCCACAGAAATATCCGTATCACTGTCTAAATCTGAATCTGAATTTGAATCCGAATCTAAATCTGGATCAGAATCTCTACCAGAACTAAAAATAAGAAAGTTATATTAATTATAATATAAACGTTAATTATTAAAATTTGATCATTACAAATCAAGATAAATATTTTAGAAACTTTTATGATACGTACCCATCTATTATAGAAGCCAATTTTGCATATTCGTTATTTTGAGCGTTACCTTAATGAGAAAAAATACACAAAATTATAAGTGCCATAATTGTATTTTTTTTACAAAAATTTTATAAAATACTTACGTAATATGGAAGTACATTCGTCGCATTCCCACACCGGATTGGCCCATTTTAATTGTCCACAAGCCATATGAATACCTTGCGAACCGCAAGTCCGACATAATGACAATTCCCATTTACTGTACATTTAGAAAAATCGTATACTTCTCGCATTGTATATACATTTTAATGTATCATAAGTATTACTTACGCATTATTACTTGTATATTTCCTTCCTTTTGGACAAAGACATTTCACTGCATCACATTGATTGTGCCTATATAAAAGTTCTTCAAATGCATTCGGTACTAATTCCCATGAAGCATCTCTAATTACATGAAAAGGAAATGAAAAATTTTATAATACTAATTATCAATAATACTAAATATTAATAATTAGTGTTAAATTAAAAATAACATTTTCTATGTATTTATGATTTTAAATTAACAACTGATATTCACAAAACTTGAAAAGAAATAAAGAAAGCGGCCAAATTTGGTTCTTTCTATACTTACTGGCTCGGTACAAAAATGCCATACTCAAGCATAGCTTTCTGAAAATCTTTCTTATTATTACATAAAGGACACTTGAAAAAATATCCTGCACTTGATGCAAGTTGCTGAAATAAAAAAAAATTATCTTTTGTTATTCATATACATATCTACACATATATGTATATGTATATGCATGTATATATTGTCTATGTATATTATATGCAGTATTCATACCATAAATAAAATATTTTTAAAAATTGACATATCAACAATTTAAAATGAAATTAATATGCATCATGTTAAGTAGAGATTTTTCATAAGTAAAACTATTGTTAAGATTAACCTGAACACAATTGCGATGAAACCATGCATCTTTTTTACAACAGGGAGCCCATAATGTTTTTATAAAATCATCCGTATTAACTTTATCATAACAAATGTAACATAATACATTATCTACTGAACAAATCTGTTTCAAAATTTTATCATCGATTTTTTGTTTTGGTCTATGATTTATGCAATATGATCTGAAACATACCAATTATAAATTATTCAATCACAACAGTCACATCAGTCAGCTATTTTTTCTTTTCTTTTGATATCCACTCTTTACCTGAATTCACCAAAAAACTGATGCAAGGATCCTGCCTTCAAACCACAGGGGAAGTGAAAGATCCGTTTGCATCTTACATTACAACAACCTAAGGTAGCACCAATCTTTTTGCAGTATGAGCATACCTAGAACCGTCAAGATCTGATTTGTCAAAGTATTCATTAAGTTTGACAAATCCAAAACAATTATTTGTAAAATTATTTGTAATTATTTGTAAAGATAAAGATATATAAAAGCTATATGCTTTTAATAAAACTAGTATTATACCAATTCAAGACAGAAACAGAACCTACATAAAAAAATTCAAATTTTTTGCAGACTTTTATCACCATCAAAACTAAAGAGAACTTAGCACTCAGATATTCAATTTATAAGAAAATATACTACATATCAATAAACAGTGCTGATTCTTATTGGCTTTCATCTCTTATTTATTAATTTGAATTTCAAGAGTCTTCATAATTTATTTGTATTTATTCTTATAATTAAACATCAAGATTCAGCCATGATCAAATATGTTCATCTTGTATATTTCTTAAAAAACGTGTGTCTTAAAAAAATGTTGTCAATTCATAAATCTTTAGATATTAGTATGCTACTTCAGATGTACCAATCTCTTTCCCCTGCGAAGTTCCTTTTGTATATCTTCTGTTAGAAATCCGAGTATTCCCTCATCATCCTTCCCCTTCTGTTCCATATTCGAGGATAAGAGCTAAAAGAAAATTAATAAAAATATATAGCAATATATATAACAATAACAAAAAGAAAACAAATCTTGAAGATCACCAATCTCTTCAATATTTGTCAAATGTCTCTTGATTTGCTTATTAGCATCAAGATTAAAGAAAATTCAGAAGATATATTCTGATCAAGAAAATATTACACTATATACCAATAATAACAATTCTAATTCTTATAAATTTTTATCTCTTATTAACCAATTTAAATTTAGAAATTTGGACACTTTATGTTTAATAATATAACAAGAGATAGAATATAAATGAAATTTACATGACATAAAGACTTACCAAACAGTAGTAATGCGTGACGATCCCATTGTGCTCGTAGATCTTTCCATATTCCAATTCGTTGTCATCTGACAGATTACAAAAGGAACAGACCTTGGCGGGAGACGAGCTCTTGGTGGACATCGCGTCTGAATAATGGAAAATCACAAAACGTCAATGGTCAAAACGAAAGTGCAACGACTTACGGCAATCGGTCGTGACGAACGCGAGTATCACGAGCTTCTCACTCACGCGAGTCGCGACGAGATCGACGAACGAACAGCGGCGGTCATGGTCGCGTGAACGTGAGATAAACACGCGCGCGAACTTCTGCAAGCGTTCACTTTTACCAACGTAGATTAACTTTAATCTCAATTCAACTCTTATATCCATTTTTATCACTGTAGATTAATTTTAAACTTGATAAATCTATTTTTTTCTAATTTTGAATGAATCATATCCATTTCCATTTCCGATGTGGATTGAATTTAATCTTAGTTTAAATCTTCATCTTTTTCCAATATTTCGAATTAGAAAAAGAAAAGCAAGTTAAATCGAGATTAAAATTAATCTACATTGACAGAAATGGGCATTAAAAAACAAGAAGAGCGAATTAAATCGAAATTAAAATTAATCTACATCGGTAGAAGTGGGTATTACTCAACTTTTTACTCTTTAATCTTTTTTTTCTTTGGTTAGAAAAATTAGATAATCGAATCCCAAAGTTCACTCGATGAACTCGTCGGTGTTGTATACGAAAAGATAATCACATCGCGTCATAAGCGCTATAATTTGCATCACTGTATGTTACGACTCTCGCAATAAAATGCCTTGGAAGGGAAAATCATAAATATCAATTTTCCGAACCTGTTTAAATACAGCACCGATGCGATCGTCGTCAAAGCCGTCGATTGGGACGGCAACCGAAGCGCATCTACCCAAATCATCCGCGGACCAACGATGAGCCAGCACTACACGCGAGATTACCCCTGCCCCTACGCGGGGTTCCTGTCTCCCGACAGAAAATGCCTCCCGAATATCCTTATCAGATTTCTGTCTTCATTCGGACGAACTTGCAATCTTTCAAATATTTATACACATGACGTGTACAAACTTGCGTCCATTTGGAGGGAAAATGAAGGAGAAAGAAACTGCTGATTACTTGTTTCTGATTGGTTGAGCATGTGTTATGGCACCGATAATATATTATCAAAGATCGTCGACCCTGGTCACTACAAGGGCTTCGACGGTCCGGAGAGTAATTGAAGAGTAACGATATAAATCGATATAAATTTATAAATTTAGAAAAATTCGGGAAATTTTGGAAAGATTTAAGTAAAATTAGGATGATTATGATAGGAAAACCCAACTTTATTTAGAAATGGAAATAAAAGTGATGTGTCGATAAGAATATATTTTATCCCTATTATCAAGAATTGAAATTGAAACATTCACTTTTGCGTATAATGCTATATTAGAGAAGATATTTATCATTTAATGGAATGTTTCATTTCGATTATTTTAGGCAATGATTTTATTTCCATCATAATCAATACCATTCAGCAACTGCATTCAATTCTTTGATACCATTGGAATTATCTCCATAGATGATGCTATTCATGTAAGAAACATGTGCGAGCTCTTTGCGAGCTTGTACCAATCGATATAAAACGGGGCAATCCAAAGACATACATTCTATATCACCCATTCGTCCGATACAAGAATGGCAGATCTAAAAAAAAATTCAATAATTAAATTTTGTCATCACGTAATAATTATTAATTACAATTTATAATTAAAAGACATTTAATGTAAGATCGCGCCTGATAATACATTGATAAATTTTTTTCTTCTCCGCTATTGTGCTTACAATAGTGATCTGTTGGTGATTTCTCTCCAATTGTTTTATCTTTTCAAGAAGTATAAGAACAGTCCGACTTGGTTGCGAAAGGCATTCTGGACAAATTTCTTTACTAGTTTGTTCGCCGCAAGTAATGCACGCTACAGAACTGAAGAACTGACGGATAGTAGATTTTGGATTGTCTCCTCCCAAATGCGCAATATTTTCAAAATTAGAACGATGAGAAATCTCTTTATACCTGTAAATACAAGTGTCTCATTATTTTTCACGATTACAATTCCTTATTATGTTATATACAATATTATCTTAAATAGTTCTCTAAAAAATATTTAGCAATTACAGAAGATAATCTGTATAAATGCAAAGAGATCATTGCGAAAGCAATATGATATACAAATATAAATACAAAAATAAAAACATATAAATTTACAAACAATAATCATAAATAATAATCATAATCCCTATAGCTTTCCACTTACCACGCATTAACGTCAATCCCGAATAAGTTAAAACAACGATTGAGGGGCGGTATAATAACTTTCGTTATATAGTATACAGAGTTCAAAATCAACGACGGATCAGTAACAACTTCCATCGGTGTGCGTACACAGTGAATGAGTGCCTGATTCGGTGCACCTGCGACAATAACGTAACGAACACGCTCGCTAGTGCGCGGTATAGCACGAGGATCCTTTTTTATCAATCTTCGCGTCAGTTCCAACGCCGGCACGCAAGCATGGGCCTTATACCCGCGCATCCCACGGAATTCTTTCGCGAACGTTAAATCCTGAATAGACACGCGTCGCTGAAAAATTTTTTCGAACTGCTTGATTACGTACTGCTTTATCAAGGAAATATCTTTCGTTTCGAATAAAATCTTAAGAGCTCTCTCAAGTATCTGCAATATATAAATATTTCATTTCAAAACTGCGAAGATAGTCTTTATGATATACTCGTCAATGTTTCTTCTTTTTTTTACCTTAGAAACTGCGGGACATCCATCTCTACGAACTGTCTCAATTCCTTTTGCTAAAAATTCAGGTTTCTCCTGTTTGCGAGTTTCATACATATATCCACAATATCGCTTTTTCGTCTGGAATATTAAATTTAGTTATTATATTATTGCCCTTCGTTTTATATAATGATATATCAATCTTATTACTTCATTATCTTACTTGCAAAATAGACGGATGAAGAACTTTTTCAAATTTAAGCTTGACAGGCGGGGGATTAATCGCGGTAACGGCGTCCGCGATTTCCTCGCCGATGATAAACGCCTCTTCACGAGATTTTCCGGGTAACAATACAAATAAAGAATCTGTATCCCCATAAACTACTCGTGCGCCCCATTTTGGCGTGTTTTCCACAAGTTTAATCGCACGCTCCAACGTCTCACGTCCTTTGCTAACTACGCTGTCACCTATCTATGAAAACATTTTAATAAATAATAATTTCCCCAACAAAGACATATTTAAATAAATTAATTTGTGCGTCATCTTTTATTTTTATGGACTTCCTACCTCGATACATGGCATTCTACCGCTAAAATTGGCGGATGTATAGCCATATGTGACATTCGCGATTAATTTGAGACCCAATTGCTGAGAATGAAGAACTCGTTGCAACGTACGACTTTCTGCCGGATGCAGCTTCATAGATTCCTTTAGCATCAGACGCGTATTCAAAATTTCTGTTAGCATACGCGGTAATATTCCCTGACGTACTTCTTTCTTTACGAAGGCTACACCACAAGGCGAAAAGTTCATTTTGTCTTGTAACTTCAACGCGGTGTTCTTTCTTACTCTTAATGTCGCTGCACCAAACTCAAACGGACCATATCTAACAAATGAAAATATCGAATTAGTGAGTGTAATTTAATTTAATAATGTAATAATTTTCATGATGTTAGATATACTCACTGGCCTATGTGTTCTATTCTCCCTAAACAGGTAGAGAAACAATAATTATAAGCGATGATCATACTCGGATATAAACTCTGGAAATCAAGAACGATCAACGGATCGGTATAAAATTTAGATTCAGGTTCCATGATCAACGGTAGACATTCTGGTGCTCGCATTCTGGCTCTTTGATGCATGGATGGCGAGATCGGAATGTAATTCATAGGTTTTGCTAATCTAAGCATCATTGATTCAACACGAAACTGTGAGCCCCGCGAGAAAACTTCATAAAATTGTATACCGTAGATACGAGCATGTTCACATGTGCGACCTATAAAAAGATTTTAAAATAACGAATTTAAAGAAATTAAGAATAAGCAATTAACATAAGAAAGTGTAAAAAGAAAATTTAAAAATACGAATTTTCGATCTCACCTATAATATCCAAGTGATTCAGGAGCTTAAGAGTGCCTACGACTCTGATGACATAATGATGTATAACTCTGCTTTTTATTATCATGCTCTCGTGTTTCCACCAAGTAGACAACATCTTAAAGGAAGGACACGGAATTCTTTCGTGTAAAACGTGATGCATGACGTTCTCAAAGGTATACGTCAATAATGCTGGAAAAAATTAAGTTTTTTCTGATTTTACTTTGAATGGAAAATTTTTACTTTGAATGGAAAAGATAAAAGCTAATATCAGAAATATTGAAAATCTTACCTGCTTCGTGTCTCATAATTCTCCAGACGTCAAGGATATTGCGACCAGGTACTTTTACCTCACCTAAATCATCTTTTTCAACTACGTGAGCATCGGATTTGGAAAATATTTGCATGTGCGGAACCTTAGAGATTCTTATTGGAAAGTTATTAAAACCTAGATAAAACGCTCGTTGAAAAACGTAACCCCACGAAAGTGCATCCACTTCCCAACCAAGTAAAATATCTGGATTGTGTTGCTCAATCAATTTTATAAGACTATTGAACACATCTTGCTCTGATGCCACGTACAGAATTGGACACATTGCACTAGCAGAATGGATTTTATTAAGTCTTGCACTTATGGAATTAGGGTTTACAATTATAGCACCTAAAAAGAATATAATTAAAACATGTATGATCTTTCGTTCAAGAAATATTAAGTTTATAATTTTTTGAAATATTAAATACTTTTCATATAAAATTATTTGTTTTTGTAATCACCGTGATCTATCTGTCCACTGGCACTGTCTGTCGGGGCGTCGTTATAAATTGCATAAAACAATGCAGTGATAGAATCATGTTGTGGATCAGGAAGGAGATCTTCCCGAGTAACAACATGTATTTCGAGAGACAGTAATGTTAGGTACTGATGCTGCGGAAAATTTAAAATATAAAATGAATTCTGAACATCACGCAAGAAGAACTAAAGTAATAAACTTACTACTGTTACTGCTCTGGCTTTTTGAAGATTCTCATTTGAAACATTACCGCAGCTTCCCTTAGATGAATATTCAATTTGACCATATGAGACACCCAGTTGCGTTTTATCCTGTTTATGTAAAAATGGATTATCCAATGCTTTTTTTAAAGAAGGTGCTAAACTATTTTCGGATATCTCTGAACTGTCAGAATTATGTGTAGATTCTAATTTCTCGGTTTTGTCGGATGTTCCGCTATTTTGATGAGGTATTACTAAACATGTAGTTTGACTTCCCATGTTTAAATTATTTATCAAATTATCAGATGTTCCTGGCCGAGGTTCAATCTCTTCATTAGTGATATTAATTGATGAACATTGAACATTCTGTACATTTGATATTTCTTCCATATTCTGTTTGCATGATTTAATATTTTGATTTTTTTCCGATAGATATTTTTTCGCTCTTATCCAATCTCTAATATCTTTAGGAGATGGTGGTTCCACAAGTGGTTTAATCGTTAACGATTTATATCCTGCAAGTGTCCGTTTGATATGGTAAGACTTTATATTCGCTCCAGAAGGATAAAATTCATTGACCTTCATTCTTCGCCATAATTTGATGCTCGTGACCTCTTCTAGACTAGATTTAAATGCAGGAACGTCGAATGACGAAGCATTCATATTTAAGGATTCTTTTTGTTTCACAAGATCAAGCTTATTACTGAAAAACGGTGTTTGCCATCTATATTTCGGAATACCGTACATTGTCATACTTTCTACAATTCTTTTAGGACTAGGAGGCTTATACTTTGTAGTAATTGTAATTAATGCATTTTTTGACGAGCGACGAGTACTCCGCTCCAAGGACGAACTTTGACTATCACTCTCTATTTTTTGATTGAGGTGTTGGGTAAAAGTTGTGTTACATATATCTTCTTCATCCTCATCGGTTTCGGGAATAATGTCATTCACAGGATTCACGGATTTTTTTACTAAGCTTCGTGCGCCTAACGCATAGTTTCTTTCAGGAGATGCGTCATCATTATTTTTTTCTGTATATTGACTGTTTGGAACGCTATCGTTACTATTTTCATTACAAGAGGTAAATATAGTTGCATCTACGTGTGTTTGATCATTTGAATGTCCAAGTGCGATTAAAGTATCAGATTGGCTCATGTTATGATCTGACTTCGTAAAAATATCTTCTTCATCGTCCAAGAAAGACAATCTTTTACGAACTTCTTTGTTCTTTTTAATCAACGAATTTTCACTATTTTCTGATACCTGTTCACGATCTTGTATTGATTTAACAATCATTGTTGTTTTATCTTTTACGTTATGGCTATAAATACATATAATAAAGATTACTTATAACTTAAACAATTTCAGATATTTTAAAACTACAATTTCTTTAAATTACATATACATATATATATAAATATAGATCTTACATAGTATCTATTTCATTATCAGTGTCGTCATTATTTTCTGAAAATAAAAAAAAATTTATGCATAAAAAAAGCAATAAAAAGAAAATATTATTATTAATGTATATTATTAATGTATATTATTATTAATAATAAACAATAATAAATGTCATTAAATTAAAAACAGTTGATGCTATTATCACAAAAAGATAAAATTAAGATTCAATTTTTCATAAAACTGCTTACATTTACCTAGATCCGAATTTAAAAGTTTTTCACGAAGTAAGCTCACACGTAATGGACGCATCTTGTGTCTTGGTGTAGCAGAAGTAGAAGGAATATCAGATGTCGGCATATACTGATTTCTCTTTGGTGATTCACTTTGAATAGGACTTTTGCTAGATTTTGGAGATATAATAGTAATATTAAGAGGTGAATAATTCCCCGACAACTGCGGACTTCGAAGGGTTTTGCTTGGAGAATTATATTTTCTTTTTGGCGTTTTGATCACGTTTCTTCGTTTATTAGGTGACTCGCGATCGTCATTCTCGGAATCGATTTTCCTCTTCTTTGGTGTTATCTGAACTGTGCTTTTGAATACTTTCTTTTTACCAGATTTATAAACACATATACGTTCTTCTTGTCTATCAACTGTCACGTCAGCTTCAAAATCGCTAGAATCTGAATCGCTAACTGTAGCCCCATCAATATTTGATATCATAAACTTCGCCGAAGGGTTGCGCGGTCCGTGATATAAACAGTGACTATTATTTAAAAAAACTTGAACACGTGATTTTGAATCTTGTTCACAATTACATTTGTTTTTTTCATACTCTATTACATAATCATCATGTTCCAAAGTTTCTATCTCATCTAAATCATAAACATCTAAATCTCGATGATCCAATTGTATCTGATATCGCGCAACACATAATTCTTTTTCTATCTTCTTGTTATGTACAATTCTTCTTTCATTATTTTTTAAATAATTTGTCTTCCTTAGAATAGCACTTGTGTTAGGATTTAAATGCTCTATATTTGTACTTCGTAAATTTTTGCTAGTTTTTAAAAATATATAAAAATAATACCTATTTATAAAGTTATATAATTCTTTCCTTAAATATCTATTGGAATTATTTATAATTACACATTTAATAATGTCTGATAATGCTAAATTTCTATATGAAATATATATAGCATAATTTTTCTTTGTATTAATAACAGAAAGATGTCTATCATATTTAGGAAGGCACTGAATTGTTGTAGAACATGTTGTATCATCCTTATTATTAAAATAATTTATAGATTCTTTCTCGTATTCTAATATATTTTCACATAAATCAACAACTCCATCAACTTGTGGAAAATTCACGAGTGTGACATCTCCATCTTCTTCAGTTATATTTGCGTCATCTATAGATTCAGTGTTCTGCTTATTGTCTACAACTTTTGCTGTATCATCACATTGACCGGATCTCTGATTATATATTGACTCCCAGGAACTTAGACTGTCTAAATCTAAATTTGTAATATTTAAATCTTCAATCTCTTCTTCTTCTGGATCATTTTTAACCGGTTCGCTTAATGTAGAATATTGAGATCCGAGAACGCTATCGTTATCAACATTACTCACAACTTCATTTTCTTCCGCTAAATCGGCTAACATTTCTATCAATTGTATATCATTCGGGTCCACTATATACAAAATTTGAAATATTCATTGTTATTCCAATACAGATA